ATAAGTGTCCACCATGTCCTTGTCTACATGAAATCCGATGCTCCAATCGAAAGGGTAACACAAATTAAGGAAACGTCGCGCCCATTGTGCGATGAAGCGGCTACGATCTCTTGCCCGTCTCCCCTGCGCCTCCTGTGGGTCGGCAATCGACTTCTCATCGCGATCATATCTTTATCAATATGATAACGCTGGAAGAGACTTCCTACTATCTACAGCCGCGCTATGTTGCGCGGAACCAAGAGGGAACTGTACCTGTTTATTGTGGTAATAATACTCAATGAATATGAGCATTTTACGCCCCGTACAGGGTACAGCATCGTGATGTGTGAAGATGGTCTCTGTACGACTCCCCCCCCCTTCTCGGTAAAACCCCTCTCGGTAGGAACCCCCTTCCCCAACGCCTACCCACCACCTTCCTACATACTTGTTCCCAGTCTCCTGCCAGTTTTTTTCCGAAATTCCCGAGAATTTACTACTTTCTCACCAAAAATTTTCGCCGAGGGGGGTTGTCAGAAACCAGCTACTATTTCCAACTATAATACTACCCTGAGTAGCAGTTATACAGAACTTTGGCGTCACCAACAGGGCACAGCATTAGTTGGGGATTTTGTTCGAGCCTGTACGACCCCCCCCCCCCTCTGTCCTTCCTCATCGAATCGAGACGTCGAGCGGGGGGCATATAGTACGCATGAAACAGGAAAATCACCAAAAGTCAACCGCCACTCCCTACAACGCCAAAACGTAAATACGACCCCCCCCCCTTTACAACGTCCATGAAGCGAGAAAAATCAACTATCAAAATAAATTTTTCTCAGCCCAAATACGACCCCCCTCCTGGCGACCAAATACGACCCCCCTATTGGGGATTCCCCAACAACGATGTGCCCAAATACGACCCCCCTATTGGGGATTCCCCAACAACGATGTGCCCTGGTCACCAACTGGGAAGATGTATAGCAAATGTGGAACGGGAAAAACCGTGAGCAGTCAACAACCGGAAGAAATTTTTGCTAACGCGGACAAATTTCTCTCGAAGGCACATACGACCCCCCCCCCCTCCCCAGCGGCCAAGTACGCCCCCCCCCCATGTGTTTCGCACAACGATGCTGTACCCTTGCTCCGAGCACAGTTGACGGTGCTATTTGCAGGCTCCTTGTCCTTAATGCAGATCGATCTAGTTTGAATAGCAGCAGTTCTGTTGATTGTAAGTAGAATATAAAGCTTCTGTCCTCAACCGATCTTTTTTTCGAGATGCGGCACGCATTCTACTTCTATTCAGGATCGTGTGGCTTATTGAATGCGATGTGGCCTATACAATGACTTGCGGGGCCAGCCGATGTACAAGTCAGTGTTTATCCTCCCAGACGAATCTGGTACCAATTTACCGTCCCCGGAGGGAAGGCTTGGTTGGCCTGGCGGAAGTCGACCCGGGATTCTGAACCCAGGACCGCGCGAGTGGTAAGCGCGCCTTTTGTTACTCCTATTTGTAAGTAATGAAATCAAATTTCATCTCCATAGGAGCCAAAGTAAGCAGTAATCTAATTTGTAGAACTAAAGTGTTACCAGCAGAAGATTTTTAATATCTCCGTTGAATTCGCGATCAATTGTCTTTTCGATGGAATATCCAGAAATGGTTTCCAGTTCCGTGTAGACATAGGCGAGATGACTGGGACTAGCCGTCGCAAGGATTTTATACTAAAAAGAATGTTTTTCTCTTCACAATTCCAAGCTAGGCATTAACAGGCCACCATTAGTTTTAAAAATTTTAAAGGGAGAATGAGGTGAACATTTTGAAGAGTAATCTGATTACAAAATAACATAATTATGAAATAAGAAAACTATCATTGTTAAAAGCGTCATTCCTCCTTTCCCTTACTGATGAGCACAAAAGGAGCATACCCTTACTGATGAGCTGAGCACAAGAAGGAGGATATTACAAACTGCTTAGTTTCCGTCGAAGGGCACGTGCGAAACGGCAACTAAGCGAACTTTCGAATAACCCCCTGTGAAACGTCAACAAAAAATTTTATGGAGATCTTGAACATAAAGGCACTTTATGAAATCAAATCATATTTTGAACTACTTCTCTAATGTCAATCAATTCTTCATTAATTTTTCAAAGTAATGGTATAGTTAGGTGTATGAGTCTGGCTCTTCAAAAGATGAGCGAGATTTAATTGCTTGAATACATTCTCATGAATCGAATTATTATTGAGCCAGTTGTTGGCTAAGATGCTAGTCTGACTCACGGCATCGAATTTGTCCTGTCCAGATTTCTTGTCGGAAGCTCGCAAAAGCTGTTGAGCGTCCTGCAACAGTCTAAATTCCAAAATCATCTGCCTATGCTAAATCCAAAATCTCATCCCATATGAACACTTTTACGGTCACAGCTGCATATTATACTGATAAAAAATGGAGTTCCGCAAAGGTACGGAAGTTAAGTCTGGGATGATGAAGGAAAAGTGTTGGAGGAAAGCGGGGATCGTATTTCGCGAAACTGCAACGCGTGGAGGAGGGTGCAGTTTGACGGTGGGGGGGGGGGGGGGCACTTTGCACTTTCGCTACTTCCCATCGACGTGTCGACCTATCTAGGCAGCCTCTTCTCGAGTTGACAGGTTTTACCATGATGGCTAGACGAGCTTGCTCCAGCTTCACAAGAGTTCACAGGTTTTGCCAGAGTGAGACTTGTAAACCGGAACTAGGGAAGCAATA